CCCCCCCCCCCCCCCGCCTGCCGCGTCTCTGGGTCATCCTTCAAGGGGTCTTCGCACTCTCCACCTTCTCCTGCATTCCTGTCTGGAGGCTCTGTCAGCTCTCCTTCGAGTCCTTCTCATGCTGAGCCAATCTTCAGCTAGCAGCCCCACAAGAGCCACCAGGACCAGGAAAGCCAGGCCAATCCGAAGGAGATTATGGGTAGTGTGATCCCAGAAGGCAAGGTCTGGGGTCAGAAGAACAGGGTGATGGCTGGCAGGGACACAAGGACACCACCTTGCTCCATCTGTCTCCCATCCCATCCCCTTCCCAGATCATTGCTCTTGGCCCTGCTCCTTCCTCTAGACCTAAAGCCCCAGATGTTTATTTACCTTTCTGGAATCCCGTCTCTGTGGTTACAAGGGAGGGGTCCCAGTAGTCTGTTGATGAAAAGAAGAAAGTGAAGAGAGGGAGAGAAGGGGGGATAGTGTTGACCTTTTCCATCCTGGCCTCTCCTTCCCTGGGATGTTCCCCATGACATTCCACAGCTTTTCAAGGTCTCACTCCCATACGGCAGGACCCAGTGGCTTCGTCTGGCAGGCAGAGATGAAGAGTCCCAACACAGACGAACACAAGGAAGCAATCAGCTCTAGGATGCATGTCTTCACACCTATCCTACGAAGGGGACCCCTAAAACTAGAGTTATTTTTGGGAGGGCTGGACCCTTGTAGGACAGATTTCCCCCACTAGGTAAGTGTTTTAGGAACCCCTCGGCATCGGTGTACCACCCAGTGTTGTGAGATGCTGCATTTTGCTTCAGTGAATTTTTTTGGAAGGTTCTTTCAACGTGTTTGCCCTTTCATGATGGGTGATTTACGAGCACACCTGCCCGCATGCACTGAGTGTTCAGTGGTTTTTTGACTAAAAATGACAAGATCCCCATGCCCCGCTCTTCCTATTCACCTGATCTCGCCCCGAGTGACTTTGTTTTTGATTCTTTGGATGAAAAAAGTCCTCAAAGGGAAACGTTTTGCTGATGTGGAGAAGGTGAAAAAAAAGGCAAAAGCACTAAAAGGCATACATATGATGAGTTCGAAAACTGTTTTGAGCAGTGGAAAAGCGTCTTGATAGGTGTATCGCATCAGAGTACTTTGAAGGTGACTGAAGTTTAAACATGTGAGAATAAATGCACAATTTTTTTTTGAATTGGAGTCTCACTCTTGTCGCCCAGGCTGGAGTGCAGTGGCATGCTCACGGCCATGGCAGTCTCGACCTACTGGGTTCAGGCAATACTTTTTGCCTTGGCCTTCCAAGTAGCTGGAACTACAGGCACATGCCACCATGCCTGGCTAGTTTTTTTTGTGACTTATTGTAGAGATGAGATCTCACCAAGTTGCCCAGGCTGGTCTCGAATCCCCTGGGCTCAGGCAATTCTCTCGCCTCAGCCACCCAAAGTGCTGAGATTATAGCCTGAGCCACCGTGCCTGGCCCACAGTTTCCTGCTTTTTTTGGTCTCCTCTTGTAATCTTCTGTTTGAACTTCAGTGTTTTCACTAACTCAACATCATTTCTTTCTCCTCACACAGAATCAATTTTTTTTGAGTTGGAGTCTCACTCTGTCGCCCAGGCTGGAGTGCAGTGGCACACTCATAGCCACCCCTGTGTCGACCTGCTGGGCTCCAGTGATCCTTCCACCTCAGCCTTCTAAGTAGCCGGAACCACAGATGCACACCACCAACCTTGGCTAATTTTTTGATTTATTGTAGAGACGAGGTCTCTCCAAGCTGCCAGGGCTGGTCTTGAACCTGTGGGCTCAGGCAATCCAGTTGCCTCGGCCTCCCAAAGTGCTGGGATGACAGGCTGAGTAACTGCGCCTGGCCTGCCTTCAACTCTTAATGCATTTTCTCATATAGCTTCTTATGTGTGAGGCCAATCGGACAACCCTCCTTGATAGCTCTACCTGCTCTTCTGATCAGTTTTACTCCATTCTATTTTGCCTTTTTTCATAAAATCATTTCCTCATCATATGCTATATATTCATTCGTTTACCCAGACTTTGACTCATGGTCTGTCTCCTCCTCCCAGAATCCTAGTTCCACGTAGTCAAGGATGTTTGGTTCACTGTTAAAACTGTTCTTGACACACTTGATGGCTATCTTGAGTGAAGATTTGTAGCCAAGATTTGTATCTCGAGTGATTTTGTAGCAGGTTGACGCTGGGGTGACCGTGAGCGTGCCACTGCACTCCAGCCTGGACGACAAGGTGAGATTCCAACTCAAAAAACCAAAAAACCAAAAGAACCAGTTACTCACCAGGAGAAGAGGTGGGGTCTGTAGGGGCAAAGTCTGTGTTCCCAGCATCCCCTGGAAATGGAGATCAAGAAAAACAAGTAAGGGGGCTGGGCACGGTAGCGCACGCCTATAATCCTAGCATTTAGGGAGGTGAAAGTGAGAGGATTGCTTGAGCCCAGGAGTTCGAGACCAACCTGCACAACTTGGAAAGACCTCATCTCCACAAAAAAAAAAAAAAAAAAAAAAGAAAACTAACTGGGTATGGTGACTCGCACTTGTGGTTTCAGCGACTGGAGAGGCTGAGGAGGAAGGATCACCACAGTCTAGCAGGTCAGGGCTGTGGTGGCAGGATTGTGCCACGGCACTGTAGCCTGGGTGATGGAGTGAGACCCTAACTCAAAAAAGAAAAACAAAATACAAATGAAAAACATAAAAAAAAGAAACAAGGAAGGATTTTGGGTTTCCTCTGCTTCCCCATCCGTTCTCTATGCCCTCCCCATCCCTATCCTTCTGGTGTTCTTCCTTGTGACAGCCAATGACCAATGTCTCTAGGAAATGGACATCCCATTGCCATCTTCTCCATCACTGTCTGGAGTTCCCTTAGGGCTCCAGGAAGGACATGGAGAAATTGGCAGTTTCCTCACCTGTGACCAGGAGCTTCACAGGCTCACTGGGGAAAGACCAGGCATGGTTGTTATAAGAGCCGAAACATCTGTATGTCCCTTTGTGGGCCATGGTCACAGGGCCCACGTGGAACTCCGCCTGGACATTCCCATATCCGTACTGTATGTGACTGGATCTTCCTTCCTTGAGCAGAAAGAACATACTTGTGGCCATCTCCAGACGGCAGTAGAAGGTTACGTTCTCTCCGGAGGTTACCTCAGGCCCGGGATGAACCGAGAGGGTGGGTGTATCATACATTCCTATGAGAGAAGGTGGCTGGTGGGTAGAAAGCATCTTTATCCTGCCTCCTGTGTCCCATTTCCCTTATCTTTAAGATCGGATGCCACTCTTCAGATTCTCAGTCCCTTCTTCTATTTCTTGGAGTTGTCCTGGTCATGAATGTGCCCTCCCTGTTCTCTCCTTCAAGACGGAGGCGCTCAGTTTCCCAGCTCTAGGAGTGTGAATCTGAATCTCGCTCTGGGAACTGTGTTACACCAGTGGTTCTCAGAGTTTGGTCTTTGAGGCCAGCAGCAACAGCATCATCTGGGAGCTTGTTACAAATACAAATTCCAGGCTCCACCCAGAACTACTGCACCAGAACCTCAGGGAGCGGGCAGCGATCTGTGCTTAAAAAATTATTTTTGCTGTGCTTGGTGGCTCAGCCTGTAATCCCACATTCGGGGGCTGAAGTAAGTGAATTGTCTGAGCCCGCGGGTTCGAGACCCGCCTGGGCAACTTGGCGAGACCTCATCTCTACAATAAATCAAAAATTAGCCAGGCGTGGTAGCACACGCCTATAGTTTCAGCTACTTGGAAGGCTGAGGTGGAAGGATCGCTGGAGCCCAGCAGGTTGAGGCTGCGGTGGCTGGGAGCATGCCACTGCACTCCGGTCTGGGTGACTGAGTGAGACTCCAACTTAAAAAAAAAAATTATTTTTATTTTGGTCAGATACACACAACATAGAATTTACCCTCTTAACCATTTCCAGATGCCTACAACCAACTGATCTTCAACAAAGCAGACAAAAACATCCATTGGGGAAAGGACACCTTATTCAGTGGTCGGTGCCGGGGAAATTAGAGAGCCACATGCAGAAAAATGAAAATGGATCCCGATCTCTCACCATAAACAAAAATTAACTCAAGATGGATTAGAGACTTAAATGTCAGCCCCGAAACCATAAAAACCCTAGAAGAAAACGCAGGAAAGACTCTTCTGGGCATTGACCTAGGCAGAGAATTTATGGCTAAGACTCCAAGCGCAAATGCAACAAAAACAAAAGTAAACAAGCGGGACTTAATTACACTAAAAAGCTTCTGCACGACAAGAGAAATGATCAATGAAGTAAATAGGCAGCCTATGGAATGGGAGAAGATATTTGTAAACTATATATCTGACAAAGGACTAATATCCAGAATCTACAAAGAACACAAATCAGCAAGAAAAAAGCAAATGGCCCCATAAAAAGTGGGGAAATGACATAAACAGACACCTCTCAAAAGATACACAAATGACCAACAAATGTGAACAAATGCTCAACGTTACTCATCATCAGGGAAATGCAAATTAAAACCACAATGAGATAACACCTTAAGCCAGGCTCGGTGGCTCAGCCTGTAATCCTGTGCTTTGAGAGGCTGAGGTGAGTGGATTGCCGGAGGGTGCAGGTTCGAGACCCGCCTGGGCAACTTGGTGAGACCTCATCTCTACAATGAATCAAAAAATTAGCTGGGTGTGGTAGTGTGCGCCTGTAGTTCCAGCTACTTGGAAAGCTGAGGCGGAAAGATCGCTGGAGCCCAGCATGTCGAGGCTGCGGTGGCCGGGAGTTGCTACTGCACTCCAGTCTGGGTGATAGAGTGAGACTCCAACTCAAAAAACAAACAGACAAGCAAAAAAAATGAGATAACACCTTATATCAGTCAAAATGGACATTATTAAAAATTCAAAAAAAATAGATGTTGGCCTAGATGCGGTGAAAAGGGAACATTCATACGCTGTGAGTGGGACTGTATATTAGTACAACCTCTATGGAAACCAGTATGGAGATTTCTCAAAGAACTAAAAGTAGGTCTCCCATTTGACCCCGCAATCCCACTGTGAGGTATCTACCTAAGGGAACAGAGGTTTTTTTATTTTTAATTTTTTGAGTTGGAATCTCACTCCGTCATCCAGGCTGGAGGGTAGTGGCATGCTCATGGACATCCCAGTGTTGACCTGCCGGAGTCAGGTGATCCTTCCACCTCAACCTTCCAAGTAGTTGGAACTATAGACGCATGCCACCATGCCTGGCTAATTTTTTGATTTATTGTAGAGATGAGGTCTCGCCAAGTTGCCTGGGCTAGTCTTGAACCCGTGGGCTCAGGCAATCCTGTCACCTTGGCCTTCCAAAGTACTGGAATTATAGGTGTGAGACACCATGGCTGGGTGTAGCTGGCTTTTTAACAGGCCATGCATGGACCGGTACTGGTCTGTGGCCTGGGCGTTCAGGACCCCTTGGTATAATGGACATTGGAGACTCAGAAGTGGGAGAGTGGGAAGGGAAGGAGGTATGAAAAAATCAACTATGGGGTACAAGTGTGCAACTGGTGGGGGTGGTGGGGACACTTGAAGCCCAGACTCCTTCACCACTATACTAGGTGTCCCTGTAACCAAAAACCATTTGCACCCCCTAAAACTATGGAAACCAACCAACCAACCAACCAACCAATCAATCCCTTCTTTGAGCTAGAGCTGAAAAAAAATTTCAAAATAGATTACAAAGTGATTTTTTTAAGCATGCTGCTCACTGCCACTGCAGCTTCAACCTGCTGGCCTCAGGCAATCCTTCTGCCTCAGCCTTCCAAGTAGCTGGAACTACAGGTGCACGCCACCACGCCCAGCTAATTTTCTGATTTATTGTAGAGATGATGTCTTGCCAAGTTGCCCAGGCTGGTCTCGAACCCGTGGCTCACACAATCCTCTCACTTTGGCCTCCCAAAGTACTAGGATTATAGGTGTGAGCCACCTCACCTGGCCTACAAAGTAATTTTAAACTCCTGGATTTTACTCAAATTGTGCTTTACTTAAATTATAAATGGTCTTAGTGTGCTGAGATTACAGGTGTGAGTCACCATGCCTGGCGAGAACACATTCTATGAATACATAGTCTATTGTAATGTATTATTAGTGAAAAAAATTTTAAAAGTGCACAATTCGGTGTCATAAAGTACATTCACATTGTTGTACAATCATCACCGTTGTTTATCTCCAGAACACATTTTGTCTTGAAAAACAGAAACTCTGTTCCTTTAAAAAAAAGTCCCTTTTTCCCTCCCCTCATCCACTGACAATCAATCACCTCAGCCCCTGATGGCCACTGTTGTACTTTCTGTGTTTGTGAATTTGCCTATTCTAGTTACTTCATAGAAATAGAATCATGCAGTATTTGTCTTCTTGTGACTGGCTTACTTAACTTAATATAATGTCCTCAAGGTTTATCCATGTTATAGCATATGTCAAAATTTCCTTCCTTTTTACTGCATGGTGTTCCATTGTACATATACACCACATTTTGTTTAGCCCTTCATTCATCCGTGGACCTTGGGCCTTTTCTGCCTTTCAGCTATTGTGTAAAATGCTGCTATGAACACGAGTGTGCCAAACACATCTGTGCCTTCTAATACTTGCTAAACTTTGAGAACCAATTCCCTCAGTTGAAGGGGACTTTCTGACCCCAGGATATCGTTCTCCCTAGGAGTGGTCCTCATCCAGTGATGAGTTGATGCTGGGGGGAGCAAAAGCTTAGAGCTGAAAGGAGCTCATAGTCTCATTTTAGGACTATTCTGAAGGGTCACCTCAGTATGGCTGCAGTCTCTGCTGAAACTATATCACAGTTCAACATCTCTGTCTTTTCTTTCTTTTTTTTGAGTTGGAGCCTCACTCTGTCACCCAGGCTGGAGTGCAGTGGCACATTCACGACCACCACAGCCTCAGCCTTTTGTGCTCAGGAGACCCTTCAGCCTCAGCCTACCAAGTAGATGGAACCCACAGGCACACACCACCACACCCAGCTATTTTTTGATTTATTGTAGAGAGGAGGTCTCACTAAGTTGCCCAGACTGGTCTCAAACCTCTGGACTCAGGCGATCCTTTCACCTCAGCCTTCCAAAGTGCTGAAATTACAGGTGTGCCTCATGATACCTGGCTCTTTAATTCCAGCTTTACTTTCTTCACCCACCATAGGTTTGTTTTTTGCTTCTGCATTAGGGTTTCACTCTGCCCAGGCTGGGGTGCAGAGCCACAACCATGGCTCACTGCAGCTGCACTCCAGCCTCCAACTCCTGAGCTCAAGCTATCCTCCCTCCTCATCCTCAAGTAGTCGGGACTGCACCTGACAAATTTTTTATTTTTATTTTTGTAAAGACAAGGTCTTGCTGTGTTGCCCAGGCTGGTTTTGAACTCCTGAGCTCAAGCAATTCTCCCGCCTCTGCCTCCCAAAGTGCTAGAATTACAGGCACGAGCCATCGTCCCTGTCCCAAAGGGGTCGTTTTTGAGGACATTCCTTATTAATACTCCTTAACAAATACCCATAAATATCCATCTCAGAAAGAAAGAAAGAAGGCAGAACCAGTCTTATATAGTAGTACATATATAAGCAGTAAATAAATACATATTTACTGCTGATTCAAATAAATAAATAAATAAATAAATAAATATCCCACATAAATATCCATCTCAGAATCTGTTTCTTAGGATAGGGGTCCCCAATGCCCAGGCTACAGACCAGTTCCAGTCCGTGGCCTGTTAGGAACCAGGAGGCACAGTAGGAGGTGAGCGGTGGGCAAGCGGAGTTCCCGCTGCTGTCAGGTCACCTGCGCCATTAGATTCTCTTAGGTACGGGAATCCTATTGTGAACTGCACACGCGTGGGACCTAGGTTGAGGCTCCTTATGAGAATCGAATGCCACCGCTGATCTGCACAATACATGTAATTCGCTTGAATCATCCCAAACCATTCCCTGCCCATCCCGTCCATGGAAAAACTGTCTTCCACGAAACTGGTCCCCAAGGCCAAAAAGGTTAGGGACCGCTGTGGCTTGGAGAACTTGACCATAGTCAGATCTGCTCCTAGGAGACAACTATGAAGGCAGCCCTAGCTGGAAGGGGTTCTGATTGAACGCCCCCGCCCCCAACCCAGGCTCCTACCCACACAGGTGGCATCTGAGTGGGACATGGAAGAGCTGGAAGGAGTAATCGAGGTTGATCTTTCCCATGATTCAGGCTGTGGAGATGACTCCACAGTGAGAGAACGGGACCATTACCTGTCACCACCAGATCCAGGAGGTCACTGGGCTCTGACCAGAGCTCCCCACTTCGATACAAACAGCTATACCGCCCTGCCATGCGGGAGGTCATGGTTGGGATGTGGAACTTGACTTTGTTCATCGGTCTGCGTGATTTTTGTGTCTCCAAGGCAGACAAGCTTCCTTCAAAATACAGTTGGTACTCGACAGCCTGGTGAGTTCCCCGGCACCAGATGGTGGCTGGCTCTCCCTTTGGAATCATGAAGTGGGGTTTGGCCCAGATGACAGGTTTCGAGAGAGTCTCTGGAAGGGAATCAGAGGCTGGAGGTCCAGCTGAGCCCCTCCCCGCCCTGCTTCCCACCCCAAGCCACTGGTCCTATGTCCTCCCAGGAGCCAGGGTCCTGCCCTCTCTCCCCAGCTGTGCTGGGCAGATGGATACTTAGCCTGAACCCAGAAAAGGCCTCTGGGCAGTTGATGGAAGGACTCACGCTTCTGGGTGCTGATCCTCAGGCTCAGACACAGCCCTGGAAGACAGGAATAGTGAGACCCATGCACGCCTTCCAGCTTCCATATCCCTTCCACACAAGAACTCACAGAGGCAGAGCAGGGCAGCCAGTGGAAGAGGCATTGCTTAGACTCTGCCAGGCGCTCACCGAGCAGCTAGGTGGGGACCCAGGCCAGCTGGCCAGGGTGACACACAGGATGTGGTGGGTGAGGCCTGACTCCCATGGCACCGGGACATTCACATTGGCCTTTTTCATAAGAGGATTCACAGTCCCCCTCCACCTCTGGCTGTGGGCCCAAGGAGGGGCCCTGGTCCCTACACCACATCTGACCACACCTGTGGTCCAATCAGCTCCTCTGACAATTTATCTGCTCAGCCTGAAACTCACTTCCGGGCCAACTTCTCAATTCTGCCCTGTGGAAGCCACACCTAGGGCTTGGAGGCAATGTCCAAACCAAAACAACAACAAAACCCACCAAAACCCTGAAGATTGTATACAAATGGGGTTTGATATTATTTTTAACCTTTCAAAATCATTTAATGTGGTCATAGAGTCTTTAGAAATCAGACAAAAATGTAACAAGAGAAAAAATTTAAAATATTTAAAATAAACCAAATTAGCAAAATGGATGGCATATATTACAAAAAAAAGGTGCATGACCAAATAGATTTGTTACAAAATTAAAAGTTTGCTTAAACACTTAAAAATCCATTAGTATAACTTGACAAAATCTCAACATGAAAGAGAAGAAGTTATGACTTTTTAGCTTTTTAAAATTTCTAATTTTTTTTGAGTTGTAATCTCACCCTGTTGCTCAGGCTAGAGTGCAGTGGCATGCTCACGACCACCCCAGCATTGACCTGTTGGGCTCAGGCGAAACTTCCGCCTCAGCCTCCCAAGTAGCCGGAACTATGGGCGTGCGCTACTATGCCTGGCTAATTTTTGATTTATTGTAGAGATGGAGTCTCGCCAAGTTGCCTGGGTTGGTATCAAACCTGCAGGCTCAGGCAATCCACTTGTGTCGGTCTTCCAAAGTACTGGGATGACAGGCTGAGCCACCGAGCCCAGTCTGACTTTTTTATTTTTTGTTTTATTTTATTATAGAGATGTGGGTTACAAGTCAGGATTAACAATACAATTAGGCTGCATGGAGGTGAAATCTAGGCCTCCAACTGGTCCTCAGGAGTATACCAGGTTTATGAACAGGTATACTTTGTGTTGCTATGTGTCCCTCCAAAAAGAGGGTTTATTTATTTACCATTTAAAAAAAGTAAATTGTAAATACTGTATAAGACTGGTTCTGCCTTCTTTCTCTCTCTTCTTTTGAGTTGGCATCTCACTCTGTCGCCCAAGCTGAAGTACAGTGGCACTCTCATGGCCACCGCAGCCTCGACCTGCTGGGCTCAGGCGATCTTTCCCCTCAGCCTTCCAAGGAGCTGGAACTACAGGTGTGTGCTACCATGCCCAGCTTATTTTTTAAATTTATTGTAGAGATGAGGTCTCACCAAGTTTCCCAGGCTGGTCTCGGATCCCTGAATTTAGACAATCCTCTCCCCTCGGCCTCCCAAAGTGCTGGGACTACAAGTGTCCGCCACCATGTCCAGCCTTTATTTTTTTAAAAATTATTTACTACTGTATAAGACTGGTTCTATATTCTTTATTTGCTTATTTTAGATTGTTGGGTACAAGTGAGGATTTGCTACATAAGTAGGCTGCATACCAGTGAAGTCTGGGTTTCCAGCGGGCCCCCTTTCCCCTTGGTAGTAGACCAGGTACCCAGTATGTGGCCATGTACCCCCACCCTCCTTCCCTCCCTCTCTCCCTCCCCAGCAGTGCTCAGTGGTCTGCCAATCCTACCCTTGTGCTCATGTGACTAGTATTCAGGGCCCACTTATGGTTCTACCTTCTTGGGGACAACGGATGTGCTAATCCAAGAGACTGAGCAACGAAGGAGAGAGTCCTCCCACAGGCCCAAGAGGGTGAACTGAGCGGAGGTGTGGATTCCTGCATGCTCCTGGAAGATAAACAACTGACAACCATGAGCACAAGGACAGCACCCTGGAGCGGGGGGGAATCCCCCTCTCGCTTCACTGTCCAACTGCTCTGGGCCGTGTGAGGAGAAAGGGGAAGAAGTCGTTGTCCTTTTCTGCAAAATCATCCTGAGAAGGGAGCCAGGCATGGCTGTTTCCCTTCTCTCGACAGACGACGTCGGCCTCTTTCTCAGTCCCCAAATGTGGCGTGACTCTTGCGGTTCAGAACTTCCTGAAGACGGAAGGGTAAGGGGCCAGCCAGGGCTAGTTTTCAAGTGCTGAGGCTGAAGAAGGAACAGCCTTGAGTGTGTTTGTGTCTGAGAAGAGCTTGGAAGGCCCAAGAGGAGGTTGCAACAAAGGGATTGCCAGGGCTGCAGAGTTGTAAAATATTATGTAAATAACTGTGTAAGAAGGGCTTCTCATCTTCTGCCATATTGACATCTTTGGGCTGAACTTTTTTTTTTGGAGATGGAGTCTCACTCTGTGGCCCAGGCTGGATTGCAGTGGCACAATTATGGCTCACTGCAGCCTTGACTAGGTGATCCCTCCTCCTCAGCCTTCCAAGCAGCTGGGAATACAGGCACATGCCACAACATCTGGCCAATTTTTCTGATTTATTTGCAGGGATGCAGCCTCGCCATGTTGCCCAGGCTGGTCTCAAAGTCCTGGGCTGAGGCAATCCTCTTGCCTTGGCCTCCCAAAGTACTGGGATTACAGGTATGAACCACCTTGCCCAACCTGGATAATTCTTGTGTTGCCTTGTTGTAGGATGACAGCAGCATCCCTGGACTCCGCCCATGATATAAGTAGCACAGTTGTGGCAAAAAAGTATCTTAGACATTGGCCAATGTCCCTTGGGTGGAAGACAGGCAAGGTGGCCTTCAGGTTGAGACTCACTCCTGTAGGATTTGAGACCAAAGGTCAGCATCCTGGCCATGAACCCTTCATTCTCACCCCAGCACCAGGGAATCTCTCAGCCCTGGCCAGATGGCACTGCCCTAGTAATACCAGTGGCCATGGCTTGTGGTCATTGTTGTCTCGGGCAGAATAAAAATCATGAGCTTCTTTCTAGACCCAGAGTTACATATGCCCCAGATATCAGTTTCCTTCCTTATCCTGAGGACTTGATTAGTTTCCAAATGCCTGGTCCACCAGATGTTTTAAGACATCGATTGTGACCATAGACAGATTCACATTCCCCTACCCCCTCTTTTTGAGTCAGGGTCTCACTCTGTCACGCAGGCTGGAATACAGTGACACAATCATGGCCTATTACAGCCTTCACCTTCTGGGTTCAGGAAATCCTTCCACCTCAGCCTCCCAAGCAGCTGGGACTATAGGCATGTACCACCATGCCTGGCGATTTTTGTAGTAGAGATGAAGCCTCACTGTGTTTCTGGGTTGGTCTTGGACCAGCAAACCTCTTGAACTGCTCAAAGTGCTGAGATAACAGGCATGAGCCCCCATGCCCAGCCCAGACTCATATTTGATTGAGAAGGAAAAGGAATATTTTTACATCTTTTTCTGGTGCCTGCAATCCTCAGCTCCAAAGTCTGAAATTTTACTCCCCCAGCCAGGCAATATTCATCCATTCTACTTGTCTAGATAGTCTCCACCCAGATGCCCTCACAGCATTTTCAGGAAAGTCATCAACCTCACGTGTCTACAATATCTTGCCCAGAAGCTACCTTGGAAAAGAAAGGCTACAGAGAGATGTTCATTCTTTTTAAAAAAAAATTTATTTATGTATTATAAAGATGTGGGGTACAATTCACGGTTAGGTATGCAAACATTGATCATGCAGGTACCCTTGTTGATGAGATATGCCCCTTTCTCCCTTAGCAGTTTCCCTCAACAGCCAGTCGCACCCCCGCTCCCCTGACAGTTTTCCACTACTGCCAATCACTTTCTTATAGCATTATAATTGTTCAGGGTCACCTTATGAGTGAGAACAGGTGGAACTCAGTTCTTTGTTTCTGTGATAAATCACTGAGTATGATAAACTCCAAGTCCGTCCACTTTGCTGCAAAGTCCAGATATTTGTCCTTCTTTATGGCTGCATAATGTTCCATTGTGTATGTGTACCACATTTTTTTTAATTCAGTTCAGCTTTAATGGGCAACCCGGTTGGTTCCATGTTTTTGCTATTGTGAATAGAGCTGCAACAAACATATGTGTGCAGGTATCTTTTTTGTAGAATAATTTGAGTTCCTCTGGGTATATTCCCAATAGGGGAATTGCTGGGTCATATGGAAGGTCAATTTCTAGATCCTTCAGAAATATCCAGATTGTTTTCCAGAGAGGTTGTACACGTTTGCATTCCCACCAGCAGTGTAGAAGCATTCCTTTTTCTCCACATCCTCGCCAGTGTCTGTTGTTGTTTGTTTTATTAATGATGGTCATTCTTACTGGGGTTAAGTAGTATCTCAATGCAGTTTGATTTGCATTTCTCTGATGATGAGTGAGGCTGAGCACTTTTTCATGTGTCTGTTGGCTGTCCGCACATCTTCTTTTGAGAAGTGTCTATTCATGTCTTTTGCCCACTTTTTTTTTTTTTTTGAGTTGAAGTCTCACTCTGTAGCCCAGACTGGAGTGCAGTGGCCGCTCCCGGCCACCGCAGCCTCGACCTGCTGGGCTCTGGCCATTCTTCCATCTCAGCCTTCCAGTAGCTGGAACTACAGGCGCGTGCTACCACACCCGGCTAATTTTTGATTTATTGTAGAGATGAGGTCTCACCAAGTTACCCAGGTGGGGCTCAGGCAATCCACTCACCTCAGCCTCCCAAAGGCGCGGGATTACAGGCTGAGCCACCGAGCCCGGCCTTTTGTCCACTTTTTAAAGGGGCTGTTTTTTTCCCCTTCGGTGTGTTTGAGTTCCTTGTAGATCCTAGATGTTAGGCCTTTGTCAGATAGACAGTTGACAAATATTTTTTCCCATTCTGTGGGCTGTCTCCCTGTTCTCTTAATGGTTTCTTTGGCTTTGCAGAAGCTCGTTAATTTGATGAGGTCTCACTTGTCTATCTTATCTCTTAAGATATTGGTCTTTAGGGTTCTGGATAGGAATTTGTTGCCAGTTCCAATTTCCATAAGGGTGTCTCCTGTGTTTTCTAGGGTTCTTATGGTTTGAAGTTTTACGTTTAGATCTTTGATCCATTTATAGTTAATTTTTGTGTATGGTGATAGGTAGGGGTCCTGTTTCAGTCTTCTACATGTGGTCAGCCAGTTTTCCCAGTACCATTTACTGAATAGGTTCTCCTCTCCCCAGTAGTTTTTGTTGGAGGCTTTATCAAAGTTGGTTGATGAATTGAGGCTTTGCTTCCGGAATCTCTATCCTGTAGAGATGTTCGTTCTTGATTGAGATGCCAGCTTGGACATCAAACTCTTAGGCAGATTCTTTTTTTTTTGAGTTGGAGTCTCACTCTGTCAACCAGGTTGGAGTGCAGTGGCACGCTCACGGCCACCCCTGGTCAACTTGTTGGTCTCTGGCAATCCTTCCCCCTCAACCTTCCAAGTAGTTCTTCCAAGTCAGAACTACAGGCGTGCGCTACCACATGCGGTTAATTTTTTCATTTATTGTAGAGATGAGGTCTCGCCAAGTTGCTGGGGCCAGTCTCGAACCTGTGGGCTCAGGCAATTCACTCACCTCGCCCTTCCAAAGTGCTGGGATTACAGTCTGAACCACCGAGCCTGGCCGTAAGATTCTTTAAAAAAAAAACTCAATAGCTTTAGGGGGTACAAATGATTTTTGGCTGGATGGTTGCATTGAACAGTGGTGAAGAATCTGGACTTTAAGTGTACTCACCACTCCCACCTGTGAACAATGTACCTGAAAGGTGACTTTTCCTCTCTTCCCATTTCCTAACCTCCCCTTCTGAGTCTCTAGCATCCATGATACCATTCTCTGCACCTTGGCAGATCCTTAGTTTAGCGCCCACTTATAAATGAGAACATGCAGTGTTTGCTTTTCTGTTGCTGCATTAGTTCATTTAGGATGATGGTCTCCAGTTTCATCCAAGTTGCTGCAAAATACATTATTTCATTCTTTGTTTATGTCTGAATACTATTCTATGGTGTGTGTGTGTGTGTGTGTGTGTGTGTGTGTGTGTGTGTGTGTGTGTACAACATTTTCATTATCCACTGACCCCTTGATGTGCATTTAGGTTGATTCCACATCTTTGCAATTGTGAATTGTGCTGTGATAAACATCTGAGTGCAGGTGTCTTTTTTGAGTAATGACTTCTATTCCTTTGGGTAGATACCAGGTAGTAGGGTTGCTGGATCGAAAGGGAAATCTACTTTCAGTTCTTTGAGAAATCTCCATACTGATCTCCATAGAAGTTGTACTAGTTTACAGTCCCACCAACAGTGTATGAGCATTTCCTTTTCACCGTCTCTGTGCCAGCATCTATTGTTTTTTTGATGTTTTAAAATAATGGCCATTCTGACTGGAATAAGGTGATATTTCATTGTGGTATATATATGTATATACATATTTATGTATTTTATTTTAAAGATGAGGAGTAAAATTCAGAATTAGGTATACAAGTGGTTATCATACAGGTAAAGTTTGGGCCTCCCTTTGGTCCCCACTTTGCCTGGTTTGAGATCAGGTATGCTTATTGAGGTTGTGTTCCTCTTCCACCCCCCTGAACCTGGCAATATCCCGCTACTGCCAATCCCTTTCTTATAGTATTACGATAATTGTTCAAGGTCCTTTTATGAGTGAGAACATATGGTACTCTGTTCTTTGTTTCTGTGATAGATCACTGAGTATGATAGACTCTAAATTCATCCAAGTTGCTGCAAAGTTCATTTGTTTGTCCTTCTTTATGGTTGCATAATATTACATTGTGTATATGTACCACATTTTAAAAATCCAGTCCGGCTTCGATGGGCAGCATGGTTGGTTCCATGTTTTTATTATTGTGAATGGAGCTGCAACTAACGTGGGTGTGCAGGTATCTTTTTTGTAGAATGATTTGAGT